GTCTGCTTATGGCTCTGTCATTTCACAGTGCTGAGTGATGGGGCTTGAGATTAGAAGACCTCACTAATGCTATAAAAGTTGATGCGCCAATAAATAATCATAATAGTAATTATGATTATTTATTAATAATATGAATAAATACAAGGTTTGAATGAAAGTTAATTTCTAGATTATCATTATTACTTAAAATTAATGTAATTTTTAGAAATTAGAACACCTGGCTTCCATCCCTAGCCTACCAAGGATGTCTGCCACATTTCAGGAGCAAAAAACTCCCAGCATGATGGAATCTGCAATTGAAAAGAGTTTTAGAAGTCTTCTTCTGCAACTTTCTGTCTATTGATTGAATAGCCTCTACCTCAGAAATGCTCTTTTTAGTCTTGCTATTAATGGAACCTAACCCACCTCAGCCCCTCCCCAGGGGAGCTGTTGGGCTTTGGGTTGGGCTACTGTTGGGCACTGGTGGCAGTGCCCACAAGTATCCGATTTGGAAGGAAATGGATATGACTCAGCTGTGAAAATTACAAATTAGATTTTAGCTTTCAGGCCACGGTGTATTTTTAGAACTAAAGGAGAATAAAATAAACATTATTTTAGGCCTAGTGCAGATTATTAATATTACGTTCAGTAGAAAAATGCCTTCCTGGTGATTGGTTGGAATCCTAACAGTGCTAATTTTCTCCAAGATAATACTACACATCATTTTTATTTATACCTGCCCCCTTCCCTCTGCTTTTTTTCTTGAGATTTCTTTGAGATTAGGAGCTGGGAACTGATGAGCTCACTTTATTACAGCTCCAGGACTTAGCTTTGCCAACTGAAGCCTGCTGGAAAGTAGGGACATTTTTCCTCATTGCTATATCACCTCCTGTGTAGCACAATGGCTGGCACCAGGTAGGAGAACAAAACACGCTAGTGCAGTGAGTGGATACTCAGAAAATGTTTGTTCTAATAATAGAAATTAATGATTAAAATATCCACACTTACTTTTTCCCTAACATCCGTTGGGCACTTAACTGTGAGTCAGATACTGTTCAAAGCCCTTTAAAAGTATTAATTCATAGTTACTTTATCTGAAGGTAATAACTATTATAATACCAGGGTCATCAGAATTGTGTCAGGGGCTAGGGATGGAGGTGGAGATTGAGCAAAAATGGCAGAAAAACTAACCTCTGTTCTCCAAGTTACCTCCACTTGCAAAGACGCAGCATACCTTTATGGAATTCAAATTAATAGAAACAAGTGCTACACATTAATGTACCTCGAATGTATGGTTAACAGAGAGATAGAGGAGAAGCAATACTGTGATGCCATCAAAACTGAGCTAAATATCTAAAAATCTTTAAGAAATAATAACGTTAATGGTGAGTATGTCTATTTGATGGCTCTGGCAGGACTTGCTGCAGGGACATAAAGATAGTCATGATTTTGGCCTTCTGGTAACCCTCTAATCTCATCATGCAGACTGACAGCTAAATCACCATTCATTCACCATTTGTTGAGCTGGGAATGCTGCTGACTGTTGAGAGAGGTTTGTCAAAAAGTTCCCCACACCATTGTAAATGAGAAAGCAGCCAGGAAGGAAGCAACAGGCGAGGAAGTAGATGGCAGCAATTAACGTGGGAACACAAAGGGAACCCCTAGTGGGCTAAAAGAGTTAATGCATTTCCCCAACTTACTATTAGTAAAACCTAATTAAATCAGATGCTACTAATTTGAAACTCTTGCATATTTGGAGGGGCCTGAGCTACATGTTGCTTCAGCTGTTGCTATGAAAGAAAGGGTTTTCTTGGCAAATTACTGGGGCAAACAAGATTGTAGAGAATTACAGTGCTTAATAGAATAGCAGAGAATCAATTTACAAGCAAACAATCATTGTGCTAATTTTAAACTGTTCTTACCTGTTCATTAAAGCAGCCCATTAAGGACCTCTGCCTTGTAATACTATGTTATGCTAGTTTGAGTTGTTATGCTTACTAGATAGTGAAGAGAAAAATCTTAATTTGACTTCTCTAGTTCTTACTGGCCTCCTCATAGCCCAGTTTAGTCTAATTCAATGAAATTTCTTTATGAGCAATCTCAGAAATTCATTTTGGAGAGAGCATTAGACTTCATCCCTTTCTTCCTGAAGGTTAAACTGTAAATCAGCAGAAGCCACACAATACTGTACACAAATTTCTATACAAAGTCATATAAAGGGAAAGTTCATGGCCACGATTTCCTGAATACAGGCGAGTAGTTAAGACCAGTGATTCAGCATCATCTTTGTGTATATTATTGACTCCTTGGTTCCTTAGGAAGAGGATGAAAGGAAAGAGCTATGAGTATAGATGACACTTTTATAATGGGCTCTAAAGAATTAAAGGTTTAAAAGATTTTCAAACCATCTCTTATTTTTATATTTATTTTAACATTTCTATTTCAATCTAATGATAATGCTAATTTAAAGCAAAGACACTCTGGATCTCTTGGATGGCCTCTTTACAACCTACCGACAACTTTCATAGCTTTGTTTCCATTTGTGTTTATTATTGCATTGGAACAAAGGAGAACTAACTAATGCTTACCAGCAATAAGAAAAGAATAGAGGTATAAGAAATACATAAATGGTATGCTCCTCCCACTGGAAGGCAAATGGCATCCCTGAGAGCTGTGCAAATAAAGCTTTCCTCAAATTTGAATAGAAAAAAACCGGTGGGAGAATTGTCACCTGTGGCACACTGCAATAGATTTGCTGAATTGCAGCAGAGCAGAATGTACCATATGTGCATTGTGAGCAATGATATAATTCCAGCAAAATAATATCACATTAAATTAATGATGTTAATTTTAATTTTATTGGTTTTCTTTGAAATTAGTTTGCACATTTGTTTGGGTTTTATAGTTCTATTAGAGTCAGAAGCATAAGAAATTTATAGGTAGTTTTATGCTTATTCATATTTAAGAAACATTATGATAAATACCATTTAAATCAACACTGGGAGTGCAAGAGTACTTTACTCTTTAAAAGGAAGTTAGAGAACGAACATCTACAGAACCATAGATTGCTGGAAAAATCATTGTAATTGTCTGTAGTTTCTGAAACTGGGTTCCAGGGAAATGTGGGTTGAAATGTGTTCACAGGGGTGGGAGAAAAAGAAAAAGAAAAAAAAAAAAAGGTGTTTACAGGTATGCTGAGAAAAACAGGGAGTTTCTATAATCAAATAAGCCCTGGAAAGGCAGAGCTGTGTCTCCACTCCTGAAGACCGACAGTGCTTATTTATTTATTAATTTATTTTTTAGAAAGGAAGAATAAAACTATATTCACAGATGATATGATTGTGCATATAGACAACTCCAGAATCTACAAAAAAGTTTTGAAACTATCTGGAGTTTAACAAGGTCACAGAATACGATGTCAATATACAAAAGTTAATTACAATAAACATCTGGTATTTGAAATTAAAAAATACAATTTATAAATTGTATAAATCTAACAAAATATATGTAGGCTTTGTATGCAAAACACTGATGAAAATATCAAAGAAGAACTAATTTAAGGACAATATATTTACATTTCTTTTTAATATTCTGTCTTTTCATTTCCTTCAATACCACCACAAAAAATCATATTGGTCATTCATGAAGCCTGGGGAGATGGAGAAGGTACATGATAGACACAAAAAAATAACTTGATATGGATCGTTAGACATGGGTCACTAGGCCCCACCACTAGAAATTTTTCACCACCTCCACTTTTTGCAAGTTTCTTGACATGTTTTCTTTCTCTCTCTTCCCTTGATAGTGCTTATTTATGAGATAAAGCCCCAGAAAGAGCCAATGGTAAAGAAACCTGTCCAGTTTTGTTCAAAACAACATTTCCCAACATTATCAGCACCTGGAGCCCCTGGCCATAGAGGATCTGCCTTCATCTTGCAAAGAATTCTCCAACAGAATTGCAGAGTGGAAGATGCTGCTCAGGGTCCACACCCTCATTTCACAGAGGGAAAAATGGAGAGGGTGTATGTAGAAGGGCTCAGTAGTGACCCCACCAAAAAAAAAAAAAAAATTTTTTTTTTCATGTGTACCTGGAACCTCAGACATGACCTTATTTGGAAATAGGGTCTTTGCAGATGCAATTAGTTGAGATTAGGTTGTGATGGTTAACTTTATGTGTCAAGTTGAGTGGGCCACAAGGTACCCAGATATTTGGTCAAGCATTATTCTGGGTATTTCTGTGAGAATGTTTTCAGATGTGTTTAACATTCAATTTGATAGACTGAGTAAAGCAGATTGCCCTCTCTAATGTGGGTGGGCTTCATCCAATCATTTGAAAGGCTTCATAGAACAAAAAGGCTGACCCTCCTCCAAATAAGGGTGAATTCCTCTTGCCTAACTGCCTTCCAGCTGGGACATTGGGTTTTTCCTTCCTTTGGATTCAAAGTGAAACATTTGGCTTTTCTTAGGTCTCCAGCATGCTGGCTTTAGGGACTGAAACTAAACTATTGACTATCCTGGGTCTCTAGCTTGCCAGCTGGAGATCTTGGCATTTGTTAGCCTTTGTAACTGTGTGAGCCAATTCCTTAAATCTCTTTCAATATAGATACACGTTTCTCTGGAGAACCTTGACTAATACAGAGGTCATACTGGACTAACACGGGTCCTAAATTCAGTGACTGGTGTTTTTATAAGAAGAAAAAAACAGAAACACAAAGAAGAAAAATAGAGAAGTCCATGTGACAACAGAATCAGAGATTGGAGTCATATACCTACAAGACAAGGGATGACAAGGATTGCCAGCAGCCACCAGAAGCTAAGAAGAGGCATGCAGCAGGTTGTACCTCTGAGGTTCCAGAACGAACTAATACTGAAGACACCTTGGTTTTAGATGTCTAGCTTCCTAAATTGTGACAGAATACATTTCTGTTGCTCAAAGTCACTCAGCACAGGTAGTTTGTTATGGCAGCCCTAGCAAACTAATAGAGAAGGAGAGAAAGAAAAGGGGTGAAGTGGCTACTTACCAGCAAAGGCAGGACTAGAGATCCAGCCTCTGACTTTGAAGCCCGTGCTCCTTTCATTGCACTTATTCATTATGTCCATCTCTATTTTGTTCCAGAAAAAAATTAGCATATAATTTTTTTCTTTAGACAACTAAGTACAGGAGAAACTGAAAAAATAGAGACAACTTAAAACAAAGAAACAATAATTTCTAGAAGCAGCAGGACACTAATGATCTATATAATGGCTAACTATACTGCTATAAGAAAAATTGGATTTTCCAGTTTTCTGAGGTGTAAGACAATATCTACTGATAGGATGTTAGAACTGATGTTAGATGTTTAGATGTTTGAATTATTTTATTTTAAACATGTAAACAGTTTTATAAAGCTGTGTATTAGTGTCCTGTTGTTGCTGTGACAAACTACCATGAATTTAGTGACTTAAAATAACATAAATTTATTTTCTTATAATTCTTTTTTTTTTTTTTCCTTTTTGTCTTTTTTCGTGACTGGCAACGGGATCGCAACCCTCGGTGTCGCACCCGCACCGCGCTTAACCAGTGAGTGGACCCGTCTCTATATGGGATCCGAACTCTCGGCGGGAGCGCCGCCGCACTCTACCTAGTGCACCACCGGGCCGGCCCCAATTTTCTTATAATTCTGAAGGCCAGAAGTCCACAATTAGGCTCAGTGGACTAAAATCTAGGTGTCATCAGGGCTGGCTGTGTTTCTTCTGGAGGCTCTAGGGGAAAATCTGTTTCTTTGCTTTTTCCAGTTTCTAGAAGCTTTCCACATTCCTTGGCTCATGGCCCTGTCTCACTCTGACCTCCACTTCTGTCATTAACATTTCCTCCTGCCTCCCTCTTATGAGGTCCCTGGTGATTACACTGGGCTCACCTGGATGATTCAGGATAATCTCCTTATTTCAAAATCCTTGACCTAATTGCATCTGCAAAATTGCAATTGCCATGTGAAGTCACAAACTCATAGATTCTGGGGATTATTATTCTGGTGAATGTCTTTAGGGGATATTATTCAGTTCACCACAACTAGTTAGTGGTGGGACTGTGATTAGAATTCAGAGTGGCACAATCCCATGTGTTGCTTCATCCATAATGCCACAATTATTAGAAAATTATAAAAGTATTATAAATTTAAAAAGCAGTATAAAAATAGTATTATAAACATAACCTTATAATTCAGGGTCTTTTTCAGATTTCCAGGGTGTACAAAGCCAACATAGGCTTTCAATTATACCTCAAGTTATGCATAGTGATAAAAATAGAGAAGGCAGAATTTTATGAAATACATTATTGCAAATTGGGTATTACTACTGCTTTAGTTATACAACAAAGTGAAACACCCATCCATGAAGCTTGGTCTCATTCCCATTTCTCTGAAATGCTCCTGGTCACTCAGTGATCACAGCTGTGCTTGCCTCCGTAGAAACCTTGTCAATTTGGGAAGGAGCCCAATCCAATGTTGCTCCTTGAGAATAAAATAAGGATATTTTTGTTTGCTCATAAACTTGTTTAAAGACAATGATGGCTATGCTTATTTAGAAATCTTTACAGGTCACTAAGCATGTTCTTGTAGGATATCTCAGGTAATTTTGCAATAAGCCAGAGAGGTAAAAATGGGGTACATATTTTATCCATTTACGTATGAGATAATTGGACTCACAGGAAGTGGGTGAATTGCCCAAGGTGACAAGTTTTGAATCTGAAACTCAAACCCAGAATTCCTGTCTTTCACTAGGTTGTTTATCAGATCAGCCTAAAGGATCTGATCAACCTAAAGAACCTGGCTTAGGCTGATTTGAAATCAATCAATCAATCAATCAACCAGTTAATCAGGTCTATAAAAAGATGATGTTACCATGTTGAATTAAGAGACTGCTATAGAAAGGCAACTTTGTGTTTTGAGACTGTTAAAACCTAAGAAACAAGTTAATGCTATGAAATTCTTTTAAATGTAGTAGAAATTTCTGGTTAGACTCAGAACTATACTATATAAAACCTCAGAGTCCAAACAAACTGAATATCTTTTTCAACAAAGGTATGTTGAATATTGGAGAATAAGTGGAATTTGGGTTAAGGTTTAAGAAAGTACAGTTCTATTAAAAATCATTATGCTTGATGCCTCTATCTTATGTTGACCAAATTTTATGAGACAATGGTTTACGTATAATTTTTTGCTAGCAGACTCTGAAACTGTGTTACAGCTAACATTGCTAATAGAAAGAAATACGAAATACATGAGGGGTCTTCAAAAAGTTCGTGGAGAGATTAGTGCTACCTTCGCACTGAACATTACATTTCCGTGAACTTTTTGAAGTACCCTGGTATGTGAAAAATGTCAAACTTCTCTTTTTTCTAGTTAGGAAAGCGAACACTTTTGTCATGGTCTGTTTTTCACAGGTTAAATTCTAAGCAGAATTTCATTGTGAAAGAGTCTGTTAAAAGCAGATGTGGATCAGGTGGTGACTGAGGAAACTTTCTGGGAAAGCGCAGATGATGTGGTTTTGGTAAGAAATCCTGACCAATTTAGAGAAGAAAGGGCTGGCTCCTGCTGCCCTTCCTTCTTTCCCTTCCTTCCTCCCTCCCTCTCCCCCTCCTTACCTTTCTTCTCTCCTTCCTTCCTTCCTCTACCATATGCCAAGAACTATACTAGACCTTGAAGTTGCAAAAATAAGTCATTTTTTCATGAAATAGACCCTTCCATTATTTTATATGAATCTTTATTATTTTTTAATTAATTATTATTATTATTTTTACATTCTAAGATATTGTTGCAGAACAGTTGACAGGAGCAGGAGAGGGGGAGGAGGAGGGAGATAGGGTGTGAGGAAGAGGTAGGAGGGGGTTGTGGTCAAGGCCCATGGCTCCGCCCTCATTCAGTCAGGGGAGACCAGGGGTCTTCTGGCCATGGCTTGGTCATCCCTGGGCTGGATGCAGATGTAAGGGGGGCATGGCTGAAGCTGTTGACCCTCCTACTGCTTTGCCTGGGAGCCTGGGATGCTTCCAGTGGTCATCACTGGGCTGGCTGTGGATGTCAAGGGGGAGTGGCTGAGTCTGTTGGTTCCCCACCACCCTGGCTCAGGAGCCCAAGGTGCTTCCGGCAGTGGCTCAGTTGTCATCACTGTGTTGGTGGTGGATGTCGGCAGGATGTGGCTGAGGCCCTCGGGTTGGACCCCCCCACCCCAGCTTGGGAGCCCTGGTACTTCCTGCTGTAGCTCAGAGGTCGTCACTTTGCTGGGTGTGGACATGGGGGGTGGGGGTGTAGCTGAGGCCCTTGGCCCCCCACCACCTGGTTTGGGAGCCTGGGGCTCTTCTGGTGGTGGCTTGGTAGTCATTGCTGGGCTGCATGTGGACGTTGGGGCTGTGTGGCTGAGGCCCTCAGGCTCCCCCCATTGCTCCTGCTTGGGAGCCTGGGATGCTTCTGGAGGTGACTCAGGGGTCACTGCCGGGCTGGATGCAGATGTTAGGGGTGTATGGCTGAGGCCTATGACCCTCCCCTTCCCCAGCTTTGGGGCCCAAGGGACTTCCCATCCTTCTAGGTTTTATAGGTGTTATTTGGTGGTGGTAGACCTTTACTAGTTAATATCAAAACTTTGTCTCTGATCTGTAGGTATTCTTTTTACTTTCAGTTCTGTGTTGGATTATTTGTTGTTCCCACCACTTAAACTCTTCACTAGAAATAATTTGTTGTCCTTTGGTTACTTCTAAAATGGGGGAACTTCCTAAGGGAACCAGCATTTGAGTCCTGCAGTTGAGCTAATTTGCTGCTTTGCTGCTGATTCTCTGGGGATGGCTTTTTGTGCAGCTCAGGTTTTAACTGTTGACCTTGTAAGCACTTCCAGGTCTGTGAGGTGTGATACACCTGGGTTGTATGGAAACTCTGGTCTGGGCCTGAGTTCTTTCAGAAAACTGTACCCTCTGTAGTTCTATATTCGTCACAAGTCTCCACTGAGTGGTCCTGTACTGAATGGAGGGCAGATCAGCTGTCCATGCTGTGCCCCAATGTTCCCTTGGTGGGCCCGTTTCCCCCACTGCCTGCACTCCTAGCACTTCCCATGGGATGGGCCATGCACCAGTCCCTTGCAATGACTCACCGATCTCTAAGTGGCTTCTTTTTTTCAGTTGTCTGTGGCCCCTCACTCCTATGTGGGTCTATGGGATCCCTATTAGTGGTCTTGCTGTCCTGGGGGCCACCAAGACCCTCTTTTCCCCTGCTACCTCCAAGCAACTTTATAAAAAGGGTGCAGCTGCAGCTTTTGCCATCTCTTGCTCCATGTGCTCACCAGGGCTGGCCTTGAAGCCATCAGGCTCAAAATGATCAGAGCAGTCCTTTCTTTCTCTCATCATAGCTTCTCCTGCCTTCATAAACTCCATAGGTCTCTCCTCCTTTTCCTTTGGTCTCTAGTGGCCCGAGCTTGGCTGTTGTTGCTTTTTTATAGTTGTAAATTGGTTGATTTGGGGGAGAAAGTGACAATGAGGACGGTCTGTTCTGCAATCTTGACCTGAAGTCCCCTTTCCATTTTTTTATAGCTCTACTTACCAGAAAGTTCTTTCTTATATGCAGCAAAATGGGTGTGTCCACAGTTCTTAGCAAGTAGACTTAGTCTGTCCTTTACAGTCAAAGAGAAAATTTCTTTTTTCTCTTCCTTGTTAAGAGCCTTTTAATTTGCATCTTTCTTTAACCTTCTAGTCTTCAGGCTAGAAATTCCTGTTTTCATCAGGTGCATCTCATTTGACATAATATTTAGACCTTTCATTGTCTTGTTTTGCTGATTAAAACGGGGCATCTTGATTTCTACCTTTACTCCAGATATAGTTCAGTCATCACAGTAGATTAAACTTAGATCATTTCACGATAGCAATTTCATAGCTGTATAAATGTGACTGACCTAATTTTGTGTTAGCTTTTTAAACACTCCCAGCTTGTGGTCATATAATAACACTGTCACATTTTTTGCACGTGAGTATTGCCAAAATAAGCGCCATCCTCTATTTGTAAAACTGATGTTTTGAATCTAAATGTAGGATTTTATGTTTATTTTGCTGAAATGCATTTTGTTTGCTTTGGCCC